TTATCTATACTGGTGCCTGGGGTTATTCCTCCCCAGGTGCAGGACCCTGCACTGTCCTCATCTAATCTCATCTATTATAAGCAGTCAAACTGCCCAACTTGATCATTTACTTTTAAAAGGACATGAAATGGTGGTAATTAAGGACAGAAATCTACTGGTTGACATTCTGTAATCATGGACACAATATGGARCCTATACTGGTAAAGCAAATGAAAACTGGATGGTTAAAACAAATATACCAATATTATATGCATTCATTGAAATATTTTCCTATGAAATATTGAAAACAAAATTAAGAGTAATTATTCAATTGGTGTATTTAGGTAAACTTTTCTAACCTAAAGGTTAAGTATATTCCTAAGCAGTGCATTGCAGAAGGCTCACTACTAATTTTTTACCTAAGTCAACTCAGTAACAACAACTCCAATGCCTGTTCAGCACAAACAGCTGTGCTGCAGAGATAGTGATTTCTGGTGGAGGAGGTGAACCCTGATGACAAGCCTCAGCAGGTCAGTTCTATGAGGCTTCCTCATAATTCCTAATTATGTGAATTATATGAATTCCTCATTCATAATTCCTAAGGTTGAACTTCATGGAAATTCAGCTATGGAAAATGGGAAAGAAACTGGATGTACTGTTCTATGAAAGGCAAGTGCTATACTAACAAAAATGCACTGAATATACAGGGTGTTATATATACAAATCTGTAATTGAATATCACTTCTTTCACATCTTCCATTTATTTATATTTAGAAACATGAAGTTGATTTTAATCATGCTTGCAAAACTAAAGCTACAGTCCTGAAAATAACTACTACGTGTGTTTTATGCAGGTCTGACTCTCCAAGGAGCAATATCAAAATCAAGAAAAAATATGCTGGGTTTTAGATTTAAGGAGTTTCTTTAAAAATATATAAAAATATCCCAAGTCTATTTTGTAAAATATATCCCCAAGTCTATTTTGTATACTAAAAATGTCTCCCGTTCCACTGGAGACAAAGGGCCAAAGCATTAGAGGGTATAAATCATTGTAGTATCAATAAGGACAGCACAGCGGCCTATGTGAAATCTTTAGCTAATTCTATAGCATTTGTATAAATCAGTGAGTTTTACCTAGAAAACTCAGACCRAATAGGAAAACTCAGGAGTTGAAACCCAGGGGTCATGATAAGAGCAGTGTAGCTATTGTTATATTTATGTAAATATAGAAAGCAGTCTAATAAGTCTGGTGCTGAAGGAGAGCAACAGTTCTTTCTTTTAACATTTCACCGCTGAGATCTGATTCAAATGCTGACTTAATTAATCACTTAGGAACAGAAATATCTATGTGAAGAAACAGAAATGAACTGGCAAACCCAAAATGCTAAAGTATCATCTCTCAGCGATTTCCACAAAATATGAACTTACCCTGCAGCCTGAATTTTACATTATTTTATTTCTATAGCCTGGTCTGAAAATGTCAGTTTCCATTAATGCCTTTGGGATTTAAGCTCATTTAACCAATGCAACATGAACATCAGATTTCCATCTGCTTAGAATGATTCCTTCAGTCTCCAGTACAGGCATAGATTCTCACTGCTTAAGTACCTTAAGTACTATAGTGAACATTCATGAGTTTGCAGGTAGGCCAGGAATGGCTCTTAGGATAAGAGTTTTGTCTGTGTGCTAGAGTGTCTTGGTTCCTGGCTGCTCATTGAAAAAAAAAAAAACTATTAATTTGATAGACTGATTAATTAATTGAGAGTTTAAAAGGAAAACTTAAAAGAGAGTATTCTGTTTTCTGATTTGGTTTACCTCTACTTAGTAGCACTAAGCAGATAGATAGGATCCAAAATAAACTGTGATCCCTSCTTTGGGAGAATCACTCAAAAGGAACTTTTCTTGGATTCAAGAACAAAGATGAATGAGAAGTAAACAAATTTAAAAGAGGTTTCTCATGAGTTTTCATTAAAATTCAAGCTTCTATACCTGGCATTGATCCAGGAGTGGGTGGTTTATTTCAAGTGTCTATGGCTCAAAATCTTTTTCAGTAAATCTTGGGGTCAATATTGATATATAAGAGTAAAAAATTTATAGATTTATCAGTAAACAAATAAAGTCCAGGAAATTAACTGTGAAACATTAACGCAATATTTTTGAGTTAAAAGGCTGAAGTCTAAATTTCAATTCCGAGTTAATTACAGTGACAAATGTGTTAACTTTGGAGCTGGAGTGCTTGCTTGCTTAGGAAAGGAAATGGCTCTAATGCTTTTGCTTCTGTAGTCACTTGCTGAACGTTATACCCCTTCAAAAATTATTCACAGTTTATTTTATTTTCTGTTAGGTATCATTGCTAAATACAAGGCCTAAAACTCAAGTTAGAATGAGACTGTTTCTATACACCACCTCTTTCTTCCATTTCTCAGCCTCACAGTTCTTGCAGCACATACATATACCTTCACTGGTATTTTGCTCTTGGCAGCCAATAGACATCCTAAAGCTTGACAGTCARTTAACTGGGCTGAATTATGGTATTACTGAAGACATGGATCTGACAGTCAGTATTGAGGATCCGTTCTCCTATACTTAGGTTTTTAAAAATAAATTTAGGTTTCACATGTTTATAAATGATCTTTTGCATATTCCTCATAATGGATGTGTGTAATAAGTTGTCAGATGCACCAGACAGATGTGAATGATTTTATAATATAATTAGGAAAATGTGTATGAATTAGTAATTTTATTAGTTTTCAATAATTTAATTATTGAAAAACTGAAATCTGACCATGCATGTTCATGAACATTTTCTAGGATGGAGGAACAGAGATCTAAACCAGAGATCTAAATTATAAAGATTCATGAAATGTAAATTAATATGTTCTGTCATTTTTTACAATATCTCCTCTGTTGGTAAACTCAGTAGAGCCACTGGTCGGGCTCCAAGATGGCGAAGTACATGCATATTTACACAATATACACTCTTTCATAACATTCTAAATTTTCATTTACAAGATGTGAAACAGAGTTTTACCTGCAAAGGCTTTGTAATCCACCAAGTCAAACATCACAATAGCTACTGCTGACCAAGTTACAATCAGAGCAATCACAAGAAGCCATACTGCTGGTGAGCTGAATGTTGTCACAAGGTCTTCTGTAACTGATTTCTTGCCCACTTTCATTGATGTTGTAGGAAGAGATCCGTTCTTACCATCTACAATCGTTGTTGTTGTAGACATATGTCCTAAAGAAATATTAAAAGCAGAAAAAATAGAATGATGGAACCTAAAAACAGGAACATGAACTTTATTTTAAAATTCTTATGTACTCAAAATGTTTACATCCATACATGAATGAAAATATAGCAATATTAAAGACAGACTCTTGAGCTTTCCAGAAGAAGGTTTTTTTCTGAACTAGGAATCCAATTAATAAAATTTATTTGGGAGAAAACATGATGAAATAGCCATGACTGGCTTTTAGCCTGTCATGAATAGCTACAGACCTAGAAGAGTGATTGATGAAAGCATAAAATATTACTACTCTCTAAAGGATTGCCTTGTTATGGGTTCTAGGCCAGATAGTCAGGTGATGTGATTAAGTGTACTTCCATTGCCTTTAATGGACCTAACACATTTATGCCACTCAATTTTAGCCTAAAGTTCTGCTGTCAGGGACATATTGATGACAAGGAGAATATTTATACCCTATTTCCTCTCACAGAAACACAAATTATATATCTGCCCAGTATCACTACAATTTGTAAAGAAGTTTGTAGCTGATTTCTAAATATCTTTGTTTAGAACATTTTTCACTTAATAAAATAATCTCGTAATTACAGTGCCACGGCAGACTTAACCATAGAAAATACACATACTAGATACAAGTTACTAGAAAGGTAATAGGACAGTGGGTATGTACATTAAGTAAGTAAGTAGTTGCGATATCTTGACTGTTTGTTGGACGGTTAACAGTTTAATCTGCTCCCTGTTGGAGTACTAAGAACAGATATTTCTGCACAAACCAAAACTGTGGTAACTAAAACCTGAAAATATTTGAAAATCGATCATATTATTTTTCCCCATAAAAGAAAATGTTAATCTAAACAATCCTGGCTGCTATTTGTTTTCTAGAAAATAGAAAAACAGTAAAAATAATCATAATTCCACAGTCAACAACAGCGAAAGATCATATTTTCTCAGTTTATGATATTTATTTCTAACTTGCTGTTAAAAAAATCAATGATACCTTACATATGTCCCTAGTCTGCTTGAGTCCATCTGTACCAACTCTTACTAATGAATGCCAGTGCATTTAAAGATCCTTCACCACATAAAGATTTCAACTTTCATGGAATCATGTAACAACTCATTTGTTCAAACTGTTTCTTACTCTGAGTTCACTCATGTTCTGTCACAGCTGATACAATCTATAAAGCTGATAATTTCTTTACAACGACAGAGGTTAGGAAAGTGACAGGGCTACACTACTCRGAGATAAATAGATTTAGTTCCATTTTTCACATCGAAAATGACAAATACGACTACATCTAATGCACAAGTCTGTCGACTTTCAGATGTTTGACCTCACATGATATATATAGCCTCGATTGGAGAATCACTGCTTGGATATTCTTAAAGAAATGAATGCATGTAGAGAAAGAATGAGATCTATGGTACTACCTGTAAGTACAAACAATTATACCTACAAAAAAGAAGACAGAAGTCTTCCAATCCTCATGCTAAAGATGCTTGATTTTGTTCTGTATTCTATATAAAATGTTAACAATCTCTCAAAAGATACAGAAATATGTGTTTTATATCTATCTCATAGGTATCTGTAAATGCTAAGAATGAGAGTGTTGGTGTCAGACAGATGTTCCCTGATTCCTAATTATACCATACTGTAAGGTTTTCAAATTCAAACTATTCATTCTTCTGCATTTTTCACTTATAATGTTATGTATTTTCAGCATTAATGTTTTTTCATGATTTGCACTGTTTTTCTTGATTTSTGCACAAGCATCCTGGCACTGATCAGTGTCTTGTTTTAAGACCTGGAAAGCTGCTTCTCTGAATAGCAAAATAAGCAGAACTGAATTGGCATATTATGCATTATTTGTTTCTTATTTGAAATTCAGTTTTATTTGTAGGTTTGTTTTGTTTGTGAATAATGTCTACCTACTAAAATGCAATTTATATACTTTCTTAAACAAATAAATAGAAATAAAAACCCCTCACTGCTTCTGAGTTTTGGATCAAACATTTCACGGCGTGAGGAAAAGTCTGCAAGTGACAACTAGCAATAAAAATCAGCTTCCTGAAGTTAAATTCCAAATCAATAACATTTTGTTATCCTACTGCCATGCATACAAAGGGGAAGTAATTTGTGCTCGTAAGAAGTCATAAATGACACATTATGCACTTTTTTCCTTGGGGATATCAATCAGGTTTTATGATAAATGAGAGAGAATATAAAGGTACAACAGTCATTAGTATTATAACATCTCTCCAATAACATACTAATGGCAGATATTTACACAGTTACAATAAAAGCAATTAAAAGTGTCTGTATATACATATTATATACATATATATGTATATACATATGGATAATTACCATTCATAGGCTCATTCTACTAGGAAAATTGCTATGTAAAAACAGTTTCTTCCTGTTTAGTATACCTAATTTTTCAAGCTCAGAGTTGTTTGTGCTTACTTTGGTGAAGAAAATACTTTCCTACGACTTACCAATCTAAGCAAAACTGCAGAGACAATACAGTAGAAGTATGACAGAGTTTTTTCTACTACATTTCATTCAGTGAAATGGGACCAAACAGCTATGAAACTAGATTTGCCTGCAAGCCGAGCTAAGAAACACTGATGAAACACTGATACCCAGTGCAGGCACTACCTGCGCAAACACTTACCAAAGAGTTCAGGTGCCAAAGAATAAGTCCCTAACGTTGTTATAGGTGCCTTAGGATACCAGAGGTATTTTCACTGGACTGTKGGACACCGTACCCTAAAACTCTGAAAATAGAAACTCTGCGCATTTTAGATGTACCTGGTACTAGCTTGCAAAATGTCTGAAGGAGATTTTTTAAAGATTCCTGAGAGACCACATTGTTTCATGCCATGTAGTTCTATAAGGGACTCTACTAGCAGAGTAGAGAAAGACGGGAGCTACACATGTCCCGTATTATCCATCAATTCAGCAAGCAGGGATTCTCCCCTTCCTCAGCAAAGCGCCAAAGTTGAGCAGAACCCTTGCCCGAGGAGCCAGTGTGGCTTCTGCTGTTCAGCAAGGCAATTAGAGGTAGCAGGTTTTGCTGCTTCGAAATTACTTCATGCAGCAGATCAAATTTTGCTGTTGCAACTTTTATTTTTACATTCAGCAACAGGTTGAAAACAGATTCCTGAACTTCTACAGCATCCTTCCAAGCCATATAGCATACATTTTCCTCTCATTAGACAGACTTCACTGTACTGTCTTATGGTCAGCCAAAATCCAGGTCAGCTTACTTAGGTCTACTTTGAGCAACGCTTCAGTGAAACAGGAGCAGTGTCATGAGCAGATCATATGTGTCTGCTTTCGGGAAGGCAACATCTGTCAGAGGAGTGGATGGGGTGCAGCTGAAGGGCTAATAATTTCAGCCATCCAATTTTAATCCACCATCAAATATCTATTAGAACCTCCTGGCACTTTGGATTGTGATTGTTATTGATTTCCAATGAGGTTGGGAAGTTAAAAAAGTTTTACCATTATACATTACATTATACATTTCTATAAGAGGATTACTTCAGAGACATATACCTCTGTCTCCACATCACAATTTCTCATGCACAGAGAACTACCCCAATGGCTCACAAATGTTACCTTTGTATCAAAAGACTGATTTGCTAAATTACAAATTGTTAAAAGTGTATAAGATTCTTACAATTTCTCTGGCTTCAGAATTGTCACTGAGGCTACAATACGGCCTCTCATAAGGTCTCACAAATATAAATATACCTTAATAATTGGTAACAATAATGAGGAAAAAACAGTGCCACCTTCAGAGTTCACGGTGAGCTTGCAGCATCAACAGCTTAGATAAAATACCCTTTATATTTGTAAGATGAGTTTTTCTTAAGGAATAGGAATCCATGGTTAAGAATGGGCACTTGATTTTGCAGTTCAGTGGCTATTCCTTCCACTTTCTCACGAAAAAAGAAAAGGAAGAAGAATAAATAAATAAACCAAATCATGCAGACTCATTCAAAAGTAAAGCAGTACTTTTCTGTATTTATGTTATTTCATATTTATCTTTTATATTACAGCCTTCATTCTGTCACCAGCCATGAAAAAAAAAAAAAAAAAAAAA